TAAAAGCACAATGCCTGGAATTAACTTACTGTTAAAAAAAGAAAGGTAGTGTTTGGGGATGTAGATTCATTTTTTAAATGATAAAAAAATCTGTATGCTTCATTTTAATCAGTTTGCAGAGATTCATCTGTCAGTTTTGAATACTGAATATGACTGCAGTTAAATTAGGAGGCTGTAGAAAATGTGATCAGAATTTAATAACATTTATAGAAGGTGACTGCATATTAAATTGTTATAAAGCTAAATCAAGATTTCACATTATTCTCTGCACTGGTGAATGTTAGATAAGATTTGAGAGAGAATTAGTATCATTACAACCTTCTGAAAGTATTTGAGTATGATTTGCTGGAATAATATGTGCTTAAAACAGCAGTCTAAATCTATTTTATTTCACATGCAGCCTTTCACATAGTCACATTTCTTCTGGAACAACCAGGAAAACAACAGTCAAGAGGCAAGAGAAACTTGCCTCTAGGTTTTGAACATCTTTAAAGAGTATTTTTAATAAAGAAAAAATTCTAGGTTAGAAAGCTTTTGCTTGATGCGTTTATAGGTATGCAATGTTATATCCAATTTCTTCCTAAGCATGTTCTAGAGATGTAGTATTATTTCATTCCTGTGAAAACAATCTATGTTTTTAGATTGGCTTCTGTGACACCAGGTTAATACCATTACTGATACTTGGAAAAATCCCTTCCAGCTCATCTGGGTTAGGAAACAAGGGCCCTTGTTACCATCATCAGAACAACTCACTTGGACTGAATAGTTTCTAAGATAAAAGTAGTTTTGGGTTTGCGTTTTCTCTTGGAAAGGCTGCAGAGAGTTTTCCTCTTTTTGTTCCAAAAGCATAAATATTGCTTCTGGTTATTTTTTTTTCTTTAAATTCTCTTCTCTCAGCAGATCTGTGTATATAGGTGTGTTTCATCCTCTTCATGTTAAGCCTACTGCCAGTGTCTCATCTGTGCTCCCAAATCAAATCATTTGTGTTAAGAATTAGACACCTGATTTAAAGCATAATCATGACAGGAGATGCATTGCTGTCAATCTAATGTCATTTCAGAGACATGGCAAGGCAAAAGATGCACACTGTGCCTAATCACACCTAAGAACCGTGGTCATCAAAAATCCATACTAAAGGAGAAGGGACCTAGATGAGAGAAGGGCAAATAGGTTAAAAGATGCAGAAACGTGGTGAAATCATTAAGTGTGGCAGAATTAGAAACTATCCTGCTAGCTGAGAATCTCAATGAGATGACTCAGTTAACTTTACTCAACCATAGAAAATACAGTTATTGAAAATACAGCCTTAAGTAGTGTGAGCCCGGGATTTTCAGTTAGGAATCTCTAATGACTGTAGTTTCATGGAAATACTTATACTTAAAACAACAACAAAAATAAACAAGGGAAGCATCTGAAATGGAAAGCATTTAAGTAAAGCTTTCATTTTAACAGCAACTCTTATTTCCTTCCCTTTAGCTTTTGGGTGCTCTTACAAAGAAAAGTCCTGCTAAATATTTCTTCACACTAATACTGAAGATGATAACTGCCCTTTCTGGAAATGAGAARAAAGTTAATTGATACGGACTTCAGCTGCTGCTGCTGGCACCTAAATGTCGTTGCTTGAAAACAAGTGCATAAAGTGGAGAAAGGGAGGGACCACAAAAAAATGGCAAATGCAAAATGAATTTCTTTTACTGAATTTACTGACTTTACTAAGAATAAAAAGCATGTTTAAATGTGGATTTAAAGTACATTCTAAGAATTAGCATATTTCTAATACCATTAGCCTCTGAGAGAGGCTGCTTTTGGTATTTTAACTATTTTCATCGTTATTAACTGTTATTTTAGTACTGTTAAACAAGAAACAAGCGTTCACAAACAATTTTTAGAAAGAAGTTATAAAGCAAACTGTAGGAAAAAATAGTCAAGGAAATATGGAAACAAGAGTGTGACAATACTGAAGTACAAGAGAAAGAATGTAAATCTTTTGTTCCAAGTTATGCACAGATCGCAGGCAAGCATTAAATGACCGATGGAAGTCTGATTATGTCATCTATTTTAATGGGTATCAGCATCCTGACTTGGATCCTGGCACTGCTTCCATAACTGAAGCCCAAAGACCCCAAAAACTATTGAAATGTGAGTTTTAGTCTATTGATTCTGAGTTCCCAATTTATATTATTTAGCAATCACAACTAGTACAGCACAGGGTTGCAAATTTTGGCTTTGCTATTTGGAGTTATTTAATGTTTATATCTTAAAGTGTGTGTGTTTCTGTGTGTTTCGTAAGATTTTGTCTTGACCAAACAATGCAATTGGTTTTTATACAKTATATATGTAAGGATTTTTGTGAGTTAGGAGTTTCAGTGGTTGAAGGCATTGATTGAACAGGAGCATAGAATTTCAGTTAAGTAATTATCCTGCGTGACATTTTCGATATAAACAGTAAGAATTGTGGGCAGGGATTTATTTAATGACTCAATATGATTATTATCAGTGGTGCTGTCGTTTGGGATTCTGCAACTACTGGACTCAATTACTTTATCTTGAAATCATGTGTAGCTTTATGTTGCAGCTTATTGATTAGGGGATACAGTTTATATTCAAAGTCTGTAATTTCTTTTGAGTTTTTCAAAAGCAGTTCAGTGGAGAAAACCTGCAGAGATGCACAGAAAGAATGATATCCAACAYTTCTTTTTCAATGAAATGCAGTAATATCATGCTGCTTCTACCATTGCATTTATTGTGGTATCAATACCCTCACGTTTGCCTCAGCAAGAAGAGGCATGGCTTATATGAGTTTTATTTGAATTACTCCTCACATACTTGTCCACAGTTTTGTGAGTCTATTTTCCATCACAGACAGAAATACACTTGCAAGTCTGTATATAGAATTATTAAACAAAATTCGTCCAGGAGCAGCATATATAAATAAGTAAAACTGATTAAGACAACATGCCGTTTTTCAAGTTATTATCCAGGAAAAAAGTTAAATTGCTAGGAGTTTGAACAACGACACTAAATATTGTTCTTCATCTTACAACAGGGAAAAAAAAAGTGGCTGAGCTATCAGAACTAGTGTTTTCATTTACAAGGAAACAAGGTTCAGGCCCTTCTCCACTCCTCCTTTCTTCTCCTTTCTCCACTGTATTGGTCTTAACACCATATAAGTTTAAAGAAAATAAGTTTTAAAGAAAATAAGTTTCATATAAATTTAATGAAAACGTAGGTGGGATGGAGTAGCCTTGGTAGTATTCCTGGCAGGAGAGWGAAGGATGAATATACCTTGAGTTGTGTACATTGACATACCTACAGATGAGCCTTTAGGCGTGTGTCTAGGAAAACAGATTCCATCAGTGGTGTATTTAATGATTGTTCAGAGCAAAGATTGGAGCTATAGAGGAAGGCACAGAGTGCTGGGCCTGAATCATGGTGCAGTTTAAGTGGAAGGAGGTTCTCGTCTGATTGAAGAGGAGTGCGACTGTGCTCTCCTGCAGGCGTGGGCACKTAGCCCCGTTCAGTGCAAAATGTGGGTGCTGATTGGATTTAGCTGTTCCTGAGCGTGAATGGCCCTGAAAAGTTGGCTTCATCAGTGACTCTTTGCACTGCTTATCTAAGTCAGGTCTGACCCAGAGAGATGGCTTTGCTCTTTCAAACAGTCTTGCACTACTACGTGTATTTGCTGTATATTTTATTTTATCACTTTTTTTCTCAAGAGAATGATAAAGATGCATAGTATCTTTAGGTTTGTTTTTATAAGTCATAATATCTATTCAAGCATTTCCAGGTAAAAGTGCTCAAATGGTCATTCCATTAAGGTAGAAAGCATAAATGGATTTAGGAAAGCCTAGCTGATTATAGAGGAGTAGCACTTGATTGAACTTTTACTATGTCAAGATCATATAAAAATTATAAAATTTAGCCCTTTGTGGAAACTGTAGGTGTTTTTGAAAATTTTTACAAGCTGTATTATAAAAGAAAAAAAAACTTCACATATCACTGTGTACTCTATAGAAATTTCTGGTATGTGTGAGCTGTGTTTTTGCTCATGCTTCCATTCATACGTAACTCGAATGGTGTGTGACCCATGGGCTGGACTCAAATGGTGTGTGACCCATGGACTGGAAGACAATATATATTGCCTTTTTCTCCCAACTGCACGGTGATGGGGGAGGACCTTGGCAATGGAMTTTATTCAGCACACCTTTCATTCTCTTCTACTTTTAGATTTATTTGCTTTAGTTCAGTTTTACTGATTTTTACTTTCTGACGTCCTGGGTTCCTTTTGCTCATCAAGCTTCAGCATCTATTCCTTAGGGAATAAGGACTCTTCTCCTCTGTGGGAAGGAAAAGCAAAAAGAAAGATCAAGAATTTGAGACCTAAAGGACTGGCTTGAAGTAAGAATCAATCAGGTAGTGAACAGACCACTGTGGAGTCATTTAGCATGCGACTGGGCTTAGCAAAGAGGACAATAGAGTGGCATGATAATGATTTTTTCCATGATTCCTTTCTACTTCAGTTTTCAGGAACTTTTCAGTATGCCTGTTTTTTGCTTCACAGTATTTTTCTTGAAGACCATAAATACAGCATTAGCTCAGCATATTTTAAAGTGGTTTCAAGGCTTTCTTTTTACTCTCTCTTTCAAAAGTAAGACTTATAATTACATTCGATATTTTACCATGTCTGCAATGTTGATTTGACTTTCTTTTATTAGACATTTGAATGAAATGAAACTGAAATGAAATTTTGTCATTGCCTTACCTATTTGTCAGGATTTCACCTTTTATGAGAAAGATGTATTGTTAATAATTCTGCATATCTGTTGACACACAGAGGCAAAGCTGATTTAAAATGTAAAGGATATTCTCCATTAATATATTTCTAAACACAGATTATATGTTATATATTTAGGATACAGAAATAATATTTAGGAGAATTCCTTTAGTTATAAACTGTAATATGAGTGAATAAATCTTGCTTTTTCCTTTTGATTTTATAGCTTGCACRTGCAGTGGTCATGCAAATATTTGTCACATGCAAACAGGAAAATGTTTCTGCACAACCAAAGGAATCAAAGGAGACCAGTGTCAACTGTGAGTACAATTAAAAGTATACTGACATTATTTTATGCCTAGTGGATAAGTGGATAATCCTGTTATTTTTTAACTGTTTATTTATTTATTTTCTTTCTTGGATGAAYTGTGTGACGTTTTACTGACAAATCTGATATCTTCTACATTTCTTAGGAATGTTAGGAAAGGATGTACTTTTTTGTTCATCCTCTCTTGTACACTGCATTGTCTAATAAAATTTTTATTCATTTCAGTTTTACATATTTTTATTTTATATTTCATATATTTTGTTTTAAATACCAACAGACTCCAAATTGTCTTAGCACTATCAGCTCTTTTTTTTTAATCTTTTTTTATCTTCTTTATCACTATCAACTGAAAAGGCCTAAATATTAGTGCTCTGCAGCAGGCAAAGGCCAAAAGGTCAGATTAGCCTGCTGCAAGGCATGTTCTTTGACGGACTGGATATGCAGATTCATCATTAATAGGAAAACACTGATGTGCTTAATGAACCAGCTTGAAACTTACCCTAAAGGCCATGCTTGATAAGGAGAGAGACAAGCAACGAAATATCTGGTGCTGTGTCTATGTGTGTGTTGTTTCTCATATTCGCATGCAGAAGCTGTGGTGACAGGTATGCTGTTTCAACAGCWTCTCTGGGAGCTTTTGTCTATCTAGCAAAGTGCTGACTCTCAGGATGAGACAGAAAGCAAAGATGATCAATAAATGATGAGTTTTTTTTATCATGACAAAAGCTGAATAGTGAGATTATTTTTAAGTTCCAAATTAAGTCTTTGCTGATAAGTTGATTTCCCTCTTCTAGTGCCCAAACGCTTAACCAATTCTAGAAGTTAATGGGTGGTTTGATTACCAGCCCTTGGTGGTAAGGGTATATATTGACTCAGCATTGCTTGTTTACAAAGCAAAACAAAAAAAGCCTAATTTCCTGTCTACCATTATAATTAAACAATGGGGAGCTCATCATCCCAATCCTCTATCAATTATTGTTCAGCACTTAGATACTTTGTAGGACTTTTCTCTTGCCTGTATTTCCCATTCTTATTTTTCTTTTGCATTTTTTCCTCCTTGTGTTTATATATTGTTTTCTCCAATCTGAGTTGAAGCTTTTGGTGCATACACTCAGTTACACTCAGTCTTGTCAGTTTACTGTCTRTGTTTATGTCTGCTATAAAGGAGCCTTTTATCACATTCAGTAAACTGGAAAAGGTTGTGCTAATGGTGGATTTTCCTGTGTGGGTYAAAAGGAACTTCCACAAAATGGAAAAAATGAAATATTCAAATTTTTGAATTTCCAAAAATCCAGAGTAAACTTAATGCTGAAGGTACAGATTTGAAGTCYCTAATTTTGTCTGATGCAGTACATTCTTCTTTCTAGATTTTTATGTAGACCAAGCTGTGCCGATAAAGCATTTGATATACCAAATGTTTTCTTTTGGATGAAATCAACTCATTGAAAGCGTTTTTGGCCATGGCCACATTTCACATTGTGAGCATCACATCTGTTGTGTTCATAGACACAAATATTTGCATGAAAATTAACTCTCTACTATGAGTTGTTTTGTTACTCTGCATGTTTTTAATTTGGAATCCACTCTTCTTAAATAATTAATTATGTATATGCACACTCTATAGCTTATGACAAAGCATCTAGAAAAAGACCGATTGTAGTGATTTAGTTATGGACACTCTAACTTTATTGGGACACTATCTAGAATAAATTTTAGTAGTAGAGACTCATTCTGTTAGGCTGCTAGATTTCCTGAGGAAGGCAGATAACCACAGGAGATGTTTGTGGAGAAAGTTTTTGGAATTTTAATACATATCTCCAATACATATCTTGGATTTGTCATTGGGTTCTGCCAATGTACTTTAAGACTTAGTTTGAGAGTAATCCATTTTGGTCAAATGTTGTTTAAATTATTTCATTAGAATATCAGGAAGTGAGGAATGTCTCACTCCTGAGCCACTGAATTCAGGCCTTACTACCATTTAATTTGTAAATGTTTTTTGAGCAACATTAATTTGCTGAAATTTGTATTATTTAAAAAAAAATACTAAGCCATTTTCTGTTGTTTTTTTAAAAGAATCCATACATTCAAAACCTGGTTTGTATGTATCATAATGTCTTGACATACATAGAGTTGYTATCTAGAAGACAGAAGCCTTATTTTGAATCAGCTGTATGCTTTACTGACATTTTCTACTTATTATATTCAGCATAAATCATATCSACCTTGATTCAAAGAAATCCTCCTCTCCATAGCTCTGGATAAAAAGTATTTTTGCCACTCAGTGGATAGGCTGTTGTGCATTCTCAGCAGCAAACCTATAACCCTGTGATTTCTAAAATAAGGATTTCCATGAAAATTTCAACTCTAGCTGTTCAGTGTGAAAGTTAGATTTATATTCCTGTCAAGAATATATTGATTAGAAAGTCGTAGCCGCGGGGCTCTATGTTATTCCTTCCTCCCATGTGAATGCACACCGTGTCTTAAGGGCAGAGATTTTAGGAAATCGAGGAGACTTTAGAACACACTTTTTTTTTCAAAATGAGAGCTGTAGCAATCTGTAGAGAGAAAAAGGTTCTTGTCTTGGGACGTGCACGCTTTCTTCTCTCACTAAGACCTCTCTGTTTTTTTCTTAGTGTAAAAACAAATATTGTTTGAGCATTGTTGGCAGTTGTTTGTATGTGTGCGGTGGTGTTTTTATTTGCTTGATTTGGGGTGATTTTAAGTATGCTGGTCACACCAGTGTGAATTGTGCTGTTGTGTATCACGAGTGACACTTTAAATCACAGTTAGTGCTCTACAGTGGCTTTAGTAAGCAGGCCTGCTTTTTTATTCAGGTATTTTAAAATTATGTTTAAAAATGTCAAAAGGTAAGTATTTTTATTTGTCTTTAAACAGGTAGTGTTCTTTGGTGAAAACTGTGGTATTTTCCTAATCGGGAGAAACTGATTAATATGCTTTGATTATTCAAGGAAGGTAGATTGCAGTTTCCTTGAATAAAAACAGATATGTAAGAAAAGATGACTGGGAAATAACATTCTCTTATAATATAGTTTTAAACGAAAGCAAGTGCAGTTTCATAGCTTATTTTCCAATACGTTCAATCTTCCCTGGACATGCTGAAATATTTATAGCACTGTTCTTCCCAGTGAAAGCCATTGCTGGAGATTGGGAGATAGGAAATCAATCTCCTTCGTTAAGCATTTTCCACTATGGAAGTATTTAGGCTATGGGGCCTGTCCTGTTGGTCATGTTGGTGATCCTGCCCTTGAATGATGGGCAGGTTATATATCAGTGTATCTAAGTAAGAATAATAATGATCTTAGCTAAGCAGGAAGATTTAAACTTTGAGAACATCTGCTGTAGTGCACAAGTAGGAAGAACCCGAAAAATGGCAAAAGAGCTTGGCTTGAAGTCTTTTGTAATAAAGAAGTGCTAGGTCTGCACAGTGTGTTGGAAACAAGGGAAAATATTGAGTGTTTGTTCAGTTTATGAGTACCAGCTATCCAGCGTACTACAAAGGCAGGAATGCTGTGGAAGAGATGATAGGATCCTTATATTTAAAGCATTTCATCATCATAATTTGATCATTTAGTCATTTTATCTTTTTTTTTTCTAGGTGACTATAGGAAGGATAAATTTAACAGTATACAATGTATATATTCAGGATTATTTTGGAATCAAAAGTAGTATTTTTCATACTTCAAGTTAGTTACATGTTTATTTCCTCTAAAGAGGCACAAGAAGTAGTATTGCACTTATTTAAAAAAAAAGCAAAGCAAAATAACAACAAAAACTTGCATATTTAATRAAATCTTCAACGTCTCCAAGCTTTAAGAAGCTATTTAATAATGCAAGGATCTGTGCATAAGCTATAGTAGGCATTTATTGATCATCTGATTTACATATGAATAACACATTAAAATACCAAGTTGTCCTCCACTGTCTACTCGCCCTCCACAGAACAGTATAACTCTTTCCCCATATGGAAAGGCAGATAAAAATAGAGAAAAAAAAAAGAATTTCTGATTCAAATTCACTATTGATAATATGGCAGCTTTATTTACTTACACCAGAGTAAACCTGGCTCCCTTTGCTTCCCTTCTGGGCTCAACTTTGTGCTTTCCAGGAGGGGAAATACAGACAGCAATCATTTAACAGAATTCCTATATTGGAACTTTCTGTATTAGGGAATAGAAAAGGAAAAAGAAAGTAACAGAGATGCTCTAGTTGTTGAAAGTTTAATAGAAGAGCTTCTTCTAGTGAAGCCCTGATTTTTCCCGGTAGAGGTTAGAATCCAGTTAATCCCAGTTACTATGGTGATCAGGGCTTTTCTGAAGTGAATGCAAGTTCATAAGTATAGCATGTGGTGTTTCAAAATAAGACAGGAAGCTGTATTTTAATTTTATTCTTTTTTTTTTTCTATTTTTCTCTCATATGATCATATTCCACCGTATTATTGTTACGTATTTGATGGTGTTTGACACAATGTGTTTCCTCCTGTGAAGTCCAGTTCTTACTAAAGAACCAGAGAAAACCTGCTATGTTGGACAGGTTTATGCATATTACCCCACTAGGTTTTATGGTTGAAGGCGAATTAGAGCAAAATTTGGCAATTACATTTAGGTGGGCTTAGTGCCTGCATCTGTTTTAACTCCCTGTACGTATTAGCTGTACATATTAAGGATAGGCTCAAGCCTTCAACTAGTTCTTAAATAGCTGGATCGTTAGGTTGCTGAGGAGAAYCATGAAAAAGCTTCCACTTTAATGTTAAATATCTGTTTAAACATACTCATTTTCTTCCCTCCATGTAGTAATTATTGCCAAAACTATTAGAGACTTGAAATATTTCATATTCTTTTTAAATTCATGTGTCTGGCATCAGTTGTTTTTGCTAAAATTGCTGCTTACATTTAACAATGCTGCTAAAYATTGAAGCACGAGAACATGACCCAAATGCACTCTAATGAATTGAACAGCTTAATACTGAAA